AACTGGAAGATGGTCCTCTCGCAGTCGGTGGAGGCGTTGTCGCTCCCACCATGCTTCTTGAGGAAAGCATCAAAGCCGTTTTCTGAGGGGTACTTCTCGCTTCCCATGAACACCACTGGGACACAACGGAAGGAGAAGAGAAGAAATCCAGTTGTAAATCAAAAAATTAAGAGGAATACAAAGAGGAAATTCACAACAGCTACTAGGTGATGCACCTTGCATTTGTGGTTTTCTTTTTATGTGGACAGCACACAGTGTGGCATTATATTTCCTGCTGCACTGCAATAGAATTTGATAGCAGATAAAGCTGTAATAGATATCTCTAAATGTTGCTTTTAACATTTGGTGATAGTTCTGATGACAGTCTGTAAGAATGAGTAAGGCTTTCTTTTCAAACGGACCATTTGGGAACAATGTTCAACAATCATATCGGTAGCGGAGACAGATATAACAATTTCTCTACTGACAGCTGCATCACTAGACCAGAATGAAATTCAGAAGATATGTTGCATTTCAAGAGAAGAGAGCAATTCTTGCTTTTTTTGGACTTGAAAAAACCTTAATGCAACAAGTTCCTGCCTGTTCCTTCTTTGTTGCCTCTCTGAGGGTATTTTGGGAAATGTCAGAAATTATTAATTGAAGTAGAAGTCAAAACAGGTTAAGGAAAAGAGGGTACACTAAATCATTTAAAATAGCAAAATAACTCCTGGAATGCATTAAATATGGTTACTGAGTTTTTCCTTGCCCAAAAAGAGTCTAAGGATAGAGGGTGTGTTATGTTGTACAAATTTGTAACTTTGGGCTATATAAATAAAACTGGCATGACTTGACTTGATAAGTGATAAAAAATCTATCAAATCTATTGGAGAATTAACTGACCAAGCAAAGATGAAAATTTGCTCTTCGAAGAAAAGACTCGACCCTTTCTGGTTAAATACTCACTGTGCTCCAGAAAGTGAGCGAGGCCGGGGAGGTCACTGGGGTCGCTGAAGCTGCCCACTCCAACACACAGTGCTGCTGCCGACTGACACACACAGGAGATCAGGTCATGTTTGAGCAATTCACTTAAAAAGATGAGTCGGGTGATATTTTTATGCTTTTCTTAAGAAAAGACCAAAACCAATAGCTTATTCCTCTGTGACATGAACTTTTAATGCTGCACTGGGTGACACGTTCCTTGCTTGCTATGAACACTGTGGTTTATTTTGAGTCAGTCCTACACACGCCCTCCTGCTGCTGTAAGTACTCAAACCAAATCTGCAGCTGAAAATAGTCCCTAAAAGACTCTATTTACACCAGTTTAGGTACTGTTTGCTAAAAGCCCAGCTCAGCTCAGCGTTTCAGCGAGTTCAGCGTTTTTAGAGAATGATTTAACTTGCTTAACAATGAAATTATATATTTATAACTGGTTTTGAAAGATTGGAAATAGAGCTGAGGGGTGCAGACAGGAGAGGAAAATTATGAAGTATTGAGACTAACCAATTAAAAAAGGTCCAATGTATCACACTTGGTCTGGCAGAAATGGAATATAACATTCATAGGTATGTAAATCCTACACACTGGTCCTTTAATAGTTTTGTTTTCTGACAATAAGAAAACTAGAATATTTTCTGCCTTATTAAGTAGCTTGAGCCGTGTTTACATGTAAGTTTAAAGGTACAGTCGTGGTTAAAAAGTGTATGTATTTAACAGTAATATACTTAGGTTCCAGTTTGTGCTGACAACTCTTATGCATAAATAATAACTGATTTCAGCACAAATGTCTTTAGTTTCAACATAACTCAAGTTTTTTTTCCTCTTCTGAAACATTTAACACGTCTAGTCGCTCGTGGTACCTGTTTCTCTGCATTTCCCTTCTTCTTTTTCCCCTCATTGTCATCCTCTTCATCATCTCCATAATCATCGTCGTCGTCTTCCTCAGACCCGTCCTCTGAATCACCTCCAGATTCATCCTCCTCCTCCTCCTCCTCCTCTTCACCCTCATCTTCCTCGTCCGAGTCCTCGTCTCCAGACGCCGATGGGCCGCTGTAGTCTGAGATGAGCAGAGCTCGGAGCCCGTTGTCTAGCACAACGTACCTGGAGAGAGTAAAGTCAGAAGGTGAAACAGCACAGAGAGTTTGTTGTTTCATTGAGTTTTACAGCTTTCATTGGTTTTTTTTGCTATTTTGAACAGACTGTTAAATCAAAAGTCTTTTTGCAGACTACATCTCACACCCCTTTGAGACTCTCTTGTTCTATGCTTTTTCACGGCAAATTTCTCTGTGCATGCCCCACAGAGGCCCGAGGCACTGATGTGTGCTTATAGCATGAAATCGTCCCATCAAACTACAATAATACTGTACTGATCCAGCTGGAAGAGAGGCTCCATATCACTTTTCGAATCTGGGTTAGTGGATCTGGGTCATTTTCACGCTCATGAATATAAGAAGATAGTATTCTCACACGTGTATCACTGCACGACACATACAATCATATTAATAACTTGAGAGTAAAGTACAAAATAGAGGAGATAAATCATGCAGGGCAACAGTGCAATGCATAATTGAAATACTCAGGAGAGTGGCTGGCATGAAAGCCTGAATATGGATTTAACTTGTGCACTAGAGGTGTGCTTTACCTGTACTGTTTGGGGTCACTGGGGGACTTGATTATCTCGCTGTCTCCAGCATTGCCCTCTCCTCCTCCTCCTCCTCCTCCTGCGTCCCCCACAGCCCGGCTCTCCTCCCGGGACACTGGGGCTGCATCTTCTGCTGAGGCTCCTGCTTGGACCGAGTCTGAGGAGTCACACGTCGGGGCGTTTCTGGATTTGTTTGTCTGCGGCATCTTCGGCATCTTCGGCAGAGATGATGAGACTGTGGCACTGCGGGCTGACAGCAAGGCGCGACCATAAACAACAGGACAGCTCGCTGTCAGCGGTAATTTACTCCTCAGCACGGCAACACACCGTGACAGCCTGAACACAGCTATGATGAAGACCCTCCCTGACACACCAGTATTGTAAAAAAAAACATAGACAACACAGACTAACCAAGACTGTGTGTGTGGAAGAGGCCTATAGGTTTGAACCTGGTCACACACTGACACCAGCCAGCGGCCACAATACAGCTATTCACACAGGCTGTCTGGTGGTTTCGCCCTATTCAGCTGGATGTCAGCTAAAATACGACCCGACCAGACGACCCCAACCTAAAACCCGAACCTCTCCTCAGCACAGCAAGACTCGAACAAACCACAAAAAAAACCAAAACGAGAACTGAACAGTATCTTTAACACATACAGAGGAAATACACACATAAAATGAGTGCTACGGGCTACAAGAAGAATTTAATGTCAACAAACAACAACAACAGATATTCTTTAAAAAAAAAAAAAAAAAACGAGCTTTAGCGGGTTCGGTTCGTGGTCTGTTTCGAGGCGAAGCCGAACCGAAACTTTAACAAGTACTTGAAGAAGCCGGTGAGACAAGAATGTATCCATACCTTCCTCCCTGCTGACAGCACAAGGGCCTCAACATATGAGAATGCGAGTGTCTCCCCAACAAGGAGCGCCCTGATTGGCTGAGAGGATTCGGCGCTTCATCATGCCGCCTGCTGATTGGCTGTAGCGTCGGGTGGGGGCGTGGTTTAGCGTTAACACGTGTGCGCCGTGCAGTCAGGAGTGGTTACATTGTAATAGCTGCGGGAAGGGACAGCGGCAGCGACGAGTAGCCACCTGGATGTTACCCAGCAGCTGCTAGCCATCTGTTTATGATTATGATTGTTAGATGGAGAGTGTTGAACCGACCACTTGTCATAGCCGGTAAATGTCATAATTGGTCGTTTGATTTAATCTCCTCAGCCAGTAGAACCGGTAAGAATTGAACTGGATGTGAGCTGTCTTGTCAGCTATAGCCACATGACAGCCACTGTGCTGCATGGAGACTGTGCCCCTCACATCTTTTTGCTGCACCTGTGCGAGGCTCCGAACGGGGGATGATTGGTGTTGGGGGGCCGCTAGGTGGCATGCATAGGCCACAGGGGATGTTGGGCAAATGTAACAGCTGATTTTTGAGCATGGTCTGCGAGTTAGAGGCTTCCTGGGCTCCTATTGAAGGGTTACCAATCTGTATCCCCCCCGCGCCCCTTTCAAGGGCTTTTAACAATGTGCAAATGTATTAATGCTCTCCACTGAGACATCCAAGTAAAATCAAACTAAAGCTTGATCAAAATTGATGAAAAGCAGAGCAAAAATGTGAATGAATTTGGCGTAAGGATTTGCTCAATTATCAGTCTATACCTCAAACCTGAGATCACAATCAAATAGTTAAAAACAGAATCTTATCATGAATAAGCCACATTGACATTTGTCCAGTGCCCTTCCTCAGCCTCCCCTCTGCAGCGTGTTGGCATTTCACCCCTCTGCTGTGCCAATATGTCCTCCCCCTCACTCACCAACTCTCTCTCTGTCTTTCTGTCTGAAGCCAATCTGATTTGCCCCTGGGCTTCTGTCGGCAGAAAGAGGTGATAAACACCGCAACCATGACAACCGGTGAGCCAGACACACGCCTCAGTTCCTGTATCCTAATGGCTTTACTTGGCATCCTCTTCTCCTTTAATTCATCAAGTCCAGCCTTTCACCTGAGCTGATATTAAGGCACTCGGGACAGATGAAGGCGCCGCGGATCCACTACAGTTTGAGCTGTCTCATCCTCTTCTTTTTAAGATAAACTGGGGTAGGTCTATCAACGTGTGAGATGAAACAGTGTAAATGCTAAAACCTCCACATTGCTTAAATATAGACCTCTATTAGTCACTGAATAAATATTTCCTCAGCCTGATTAACAGAAATGTTAGCATATTGATTCCTCTGACGTGCTCTAAGGCAGTCAGTCAGAAAGTGAAAGCACTAGGCGGATTCCTCACAAACATATCCTATTGATCACTAATGGAGCCCCTGTGAAAACACTATATGAATGATGTTTTCAGAGAAAAGTTCTTGCACCAAGCGTGGCGGTGCTCGGCTTTCATCGCAAGGCTGTGGTAATAGCGAGGATAAGCAGCCTATTAGAGCTGTGTGAAAGTGCCTTTGCATGCCTCGCCACATGAAAACTTTCAGGTCAAAATGGCAGGCTTGAGTTAGTGATCGATTGGACAGGGCCCTGCGAACCACGGACCTCCCCTTTCACTGCCAACACACATGGCCTTTTCATGGGAGGGTATAGTGTTAGAGCGCCTTGCGTCGTAGTAATTCCAAATTTTTTCCACTTTTGTGCTGCGCTCTATGACTAAGCCCAAATTGAAGTTCAGATCGGGCACCTCGGGCCTCCCTAGAAAAATGTGCAATGTAGAATGCAGCCAGCTGAATCACTGTAGGTATTATGAATTTGTCCCCCTCTCCAGTAGCTTCCTGTAGAGTCATTGAAGGCAGCAGCAGCAGCAGCAGCAGCAACGAGTCTTTACCTTAAGATTCCAAGGGGGCAAGGTTCCCACAGCAACTGATTTGAATCCTAATTAAAACAGGAGATTTGATTAATTAGCTCAGCGATGTGCATGAGAGTGTGTGTGTGTGTTGCATGGCTGTCTGTATGTGGCATGTGTGTAGGAGTGGGCATGTTCTTGTGAGTCACAGTGTAGCGTGTGTGTGTAGTTAAGCTAAATGAGGAGGGGGTGTTACATGTGTGTGTGTTTCTGTGTGTGTTCACAAGCCTCTGGGTAATGTTGTGAATCACTACTGTGTCTCCGGCATGTGTGTTCATGTGTGTGTGTGTGTATGTTTCATGTCTCCCGGGAGGCTTGTCCTTGCCTGCAGTACTACTGTGTGAATCAGAGGTGAGTCTTCTGGAGTTGCCCTCTGCTTTAATCTGGAGCTAATGACAGAACCACCTGCCCTCCTGGCCATCCCTCCACCTCTTCCTCACCCCATATCTATCCCCTCTATCTGTGGGCTCCTCTCCCCTCCACTCCACTTCACTCCCTCTCCCATCTCAGCCAACCCATCACAAACCCCCAAATTCCCACTGCTCATTGCCTCCCTATCGCTCTCTCCCACAACTGGCTGGTTATTTTTTCTCCTTCCCTGCTCTCTTTCTCCTGCACTTGCTTTCTACTCTTTCCCACAGAGTGCAGGGTGCCCTTGCCTGCCTCTCTGATTGCCTCATCCCACTCTGTGACTAGAGAACTGGGGGCAATGCGGGCCCCAAAGACACTAAGACACGTGTTAAGGGACAGCGCAACAGTATGTGTACAACGTGTAGCTTTAAGGAGATTTTCTGACCCGTGGATTGGCAGGGGAGAGGACTAAACCACGTTCACACTCTCAGTGTGTCTGCTTGTCCTCGAGTATTGAGTGTGTGCGCATCCACGCGTGCAAGCCAGTCCCCTTGGATGTCTTGTGAACAAAAGCATAATTTAAGTGAGCTAGGTAAAACGGGATGACCACTTCCTGCGCGGTGGAAGAGAAGATGGAGTGAGCGCGGAGAGTACAACAAAAGGGAGCAAATCAAAGAAGGATTGGCATGTAAACCAGTCTGAACTGACAAGAGCTCACAGGAGAATCAAAGGAAGAAAGCAAAGGAGGGAAGAAAGGGAGAGAAAAAAGGAAGAAGGGAAGGAAGAAAGGGGAGGGAAACAGAAAGAATCTTAGTATGATCTGACAGAAATAATTCAGATGGGAGAAAAGAAAAGGCTTTGGAGAAGGAGAAAGCGGAGGAGGAAGAAAGGAGAAGTGGCTGGAGTGAAACAGCATGAATCCCCATCCATTTCAGCACTGGACAGCTCCACAGACAGCACTAGGCCAGTATAAATAGATCCCCTACTTTAGAGGCCCCATCAACGCTCCAAAAAAGTGCTTTATGTGCTCAGAGCGGCTCCTGCCCCTAGAGAACAGACACGCAGGTATCTGATGGTGCCTGATAACCATCTTCTCTCAGTTCCTCTCCGTTTGTTTTCTTAATTTAAGGGAGCCTCCGCGGTTCAGCGGCAACACTACAGTGAGGAAGGCGGGTGTTTTTTTTTCCCAGATTCTCCGTCACGGGGCATTGTTACGCTCTGAGGTAGACGATATAGCCTCAGGTCCGGGATCACATTATGCCTGCCACCGATCTGGCATCACCAATCACAGAGCTGGAAATAATATCCCAGTGCCAAAAAACCTTTATTTATAAGCTGCAGCCCTGCATGTTAGAGGTGACTGAGATGCGTGCGTCTGTAAGCAGTCTCCACAAATGAATGTGACTGTGCATACATGCCCTGCATCTGCCAGCCTGTTTCCATTGCAAGGGAGCGTTAAGTAGCCTTGTGGGGAAGCTGTAATACAGCCTAATGCACCTGAGAGCCCTGAAATCTATAACCATCATCTACATCTTCCTGATATTACTGGAACCGTCTCTGTTACTGTTTCTGATAGGAATCTCCAGGGAGAGCTTTCCCCTCCGCAGCTGTAGGGAGAGGTATGGTGAGAGAGAGCGAGAGAGAGAGAGGGGAAGGGGGAGAGTGTGTGTGAGGGAGAGATGCACCTCTCCATTTCCTCAAGGTGATTCACCTTAATGCACGCTGAAATCAATGTGAAATTGAACTGAAAATTGAACTTTCAGCTCAGTAATGTGGAAGACATGTTGTTATTAAATCTTTTCCTATAACCATGAAAACGGCAGACTGATGTTTGAACGCTTTTGAATGCTTGTTTCCAACACTGTGGCACCATGGTGTCCTTGGTGGAGACCCCTGCCATGGGGGACCCCCCAGGCTTCACACACAAGGGGGGCTGCCTATACCTGCCACTTAGAGGCAAGTATTGATGGAGCAGCGGCCACCTATAGGCTGTGATTAGCTCGGTGTAGGAGGCGCTGGTTGGTTGGTGGGGGGGCTTCATTGCTCTGGCATCTGTTGCGCCCACCGCCTCCATTTGGCAGGACAGGTGTTTTGATGTAGGCCGCGCAGACGTCCAGGCCTCCCTGTAATCTCCGCTGTGCCCCCCATAACAGTCAGCACAGTTTTCCCGACTGATGCTGCGTGCGTGCTAGTCTCTCTCTCTCTCTCTCTCTCTCTCTCTCTCCCTCTTTCTCACTCGCGCGCGTGTGTGTGTGCGCGACGAAGCCAGCTGGCAGCGGAGTCGCACCATGGCTAAACACACACCGGCTTTCACCGAAATCCGTCGGTGCTTCATAGGGCAAGAGGAGAGATGAATAAACTAATGCAGATTATAATTATTGTCGGTATAGCTGAACAGTCGCGGGTATTTTTACCAGACTGCACCCGCGGGCAACGTGGAGGAGAAAGTTTATGGGGGCCCATTGTCTGTTGACTCTCTGTTGTCATCGCGTAACTGCTTTATTGATCGAGGGAACTGAAAGTGGGGCTTCTCTGGTGCAGGAAAACACCACCCCTGCGCCGCCCGTTTTAATGCTCATATAGCAAACTACGCAGTTGCGACGCCCACCTTATTGGCATGATTAATTCGCGGCGTGCGACCGCCCCAATACGCCACCACTCTCCTCTCTTTTCTTTTTTTTTCTCCCGCTATGAATTACCACGTTGTGTTTGAGATGAAGGGAGGGATTCTCCTCACTCCGGCAGGGCTAC